CCCCAAAACCCCAAAACCCCAAAACCCCAAAACCCCATTCTAAAGTAAATTTATTGAGTTATAAAAATTTAAGTAGTTTCCGGCCTATCTTATCCTCTCTGTCATAGGCTGTTTATGCTTATGAGCCTTCTTAGGCCCTTTTTCATTCCCAATTGCATATGAGTGAGCTCCCTTAACAAAAAAATTTGTTAATTTCCCATCAGAATCCTCATTTCTACTGCTCAAAATTCCGCTTGAATTCAAATAATTTTCTGAATGTTTTAACTTCATATTTTTCTTCTTGTGTTTCGCTTGGTGGAGTAGAGCCACCATGTTGGGGTTGGTGAGAGACAACTGCTTTTCCTTACAAAAGTTATAGAGAATCTTCTCCTTCTCAGCCTTCTGTATATTCATCTTCTCTCCTAGTTTATTTAATAAACGAATTTCCTGTTGGAGTCGATGGCATTGACGAGAAGTTAATCAAGCAAAACTTGTGCGCTATCTCATTCATATTATAATTATGGTTCCTGTTACTATACAAAGAGTTATTCAACTTCTTTCGAGAGGTTGTATTAGGAGTCTTTGCATTTCCAGTGCTGTTCTTTTTCTCCCTTAATGATATCCTATTCGGAGAAGAAGAAATTGGCTTTTTCGCCTTTTTATTCTTCCTCATTGTCTTCCTTGAAGTATTTCCGCAAGATGAGAATACATTTTCAAAACTTTTATTCAACCTCTTCTTTCCTTTACCAGTTGAAGTATTATAATGCTTAGCTTTGGCTTGTAATTTTTGATTAATCTCATCTAGGCTGTAATTTAGGAACTGGTCTCTGCCTCTACCTCTGCTTGAGTGTGAATTAATGAAACCCATCTTCTTTTTCAGCTGCTCATGCATATTGCTGGTACTACCTCTCTTCTTATGGCTGTTTGGTCTTTTCTTCTTATGGTATCCTTCTCTGGTGGATTTAGCACCTCCTCTATTCTTAGATTTGCTTTTCTTTTCTTTGTGTTTGATTTTTGTTTGTCGCTCCACTTCTAGTTTTTCTTTCTCCTTTTTAATGAGTTTCAGATTCTGGTCAATCTCTTCAGTGCATTTTCCGATAGAGATGTTACTTTGGTCGTCACTTGGCTCTTGAGAGTCAATACCTATGTTGTCAGTGAAATTTTTAGGCAGCTTTCTGGTCTTGTTTAGGTCATCGATATGCCCAACCTCGCCTTTCTCAGATCTCTGATCGATGTTCCTCATGTCATCATTGGAGTCAGGGATTAGGATGTTCAGACCATCCTTTGCCTTATTAACAGTGTAATCTGTGGGGCCTTGGTTCTTTTTCTTTGGTTTGGATTTTAGCTCATAATCTTTTGTTTCTTCCTTTGGAGAAAGCCTCTGTTCTTTTTGTTTTTCTTTGGACGGCTTGTCTTTCTTATGATCATCATCTAACGGTTTGATTCGGTCTGAGTATTTAGATTCCTCTTTAGTTTCAATATTCTTAGGTTTCTCTTTCTTTGGTTCTTTCTGCTTTGGCTTCTGCTTCTTTTGCTCAGATATTTGGTAACCAATGTCATCTATCTCTTCGTTATGTGAGTTATCTGCCTCTGGAGAATTGTCAAGAGATTCACTATAATTATCATCATCTGCAAAGACATCATTGAAGTAATTTGCTTCAGCGGTGTTTTGGATATTCATGTTCTCAATCCATAAGTTCTTTGGAGGTTTGAAGTCGTTTCTGAAGATTGAGATGATTTCTTTTATCTTTTCATCAGAGTAAGCATCAACATAGAACTCGAACTGATAGACTTCCCTCATGAACTCTTCTTCTTGTCTTGGATCTGATTTATTGTACCTTCTAACCTCTTCATCGTAGAGAGAACTATTGGAGTTAAGGCCTTTGGCAAGCTCGTCCAGGATTTTTCCGTGATCATCTTTTTGATTTTTCTCTTCTTCATTGTATTTCTTTGACCTGGAACCTTCATCATGATTTGAAGTTCTACTCTGGTTGGCATAATCAGAAGCCTCTTGGTTTCTATTCCTCTCACTCTTGACTGATGATCCTTCACCCGAATTGTTTGAAATGAAATTCAAAATATGGTGCAGCTTGCTTTTGTTCCCAACATCAGGAGTGGAAGCAGAGAAATGGCTCAAAAGAGTTTTGAGTCTGAGGTTCTCGCCCTCTCATTTGACTTGATAGAAATGCTTGATAGAATCTCTTGGGGCTCAGAGCTGGATAAGCACAGCAGAAGCTTCCTTGATTGTGATATCCCAATCTTCTTGTAAATCGAATACATATTGCCAGATTGGAAGTGATACATATTTAGTGTTCCTATTAAAGAAATCAAGGTTCTCACTAATGTTGTAGAAGGGATTTGTGAAATCATAACTCAGACCACAAAAGGATCCAAGAATATTAAGGCCTCCTGCCTTACTCTCACTTTCTCTACTAGATAGTAGATCGTTAAGAAGTGGTAAAACTAGAGTCTGAATTTTCTGTTGGAAATGGTCGTTGTAATCAGTAATATCAATCTTCAGCATGGATCAGATAAGTCCATATCAGATTGATCTGATATTACTCCAAGGAGAGTTAAGTGCTTTTTGGATATGATCCCATAACTTGAATACTAATGATAGCCTCATTCCTAAGTACTTCGGATTATTACATTTGAATTTGGTCTCATCACTAATCTCCATTTCTTCTATGTCAATAATATCTGAATTCTGGCATGGTATAAGGCTGGATTCATTTTCACGTTTATACAATTCATTAGCAAAAGAAGGAACAGGCATCAAATTTTGAAAAATGTTATCAAGGAGAATCAATGCACTAAATTGAAGGTAGAAGTCATGATCAGTTTCAAGAGATAACTTAGCAACTCGGTAATACAGCTGAATCAATGCAAGCCTCTCCGGAGATATCCGCTCCACCTCGCTCGCCTGTCCTCTTGGGTGGGTCGACTCGATGTTCTGTGACCCACTTGCCGAAGTCTCCTCGCTGGCGCCTTCTTCGTTGATCAGGTAGGTCATGCATTTAGACAGGATCTCGAGTATTTCGTGGCTCTTGATCCGAAGCTCAAGCTCGCCTTTGCGTAAAAGCTGGAAAATGAAGTTGTGGAAGTAAGTGTTGATCAGCAGTTCTCTGAACAAGTTGACGTGCATTTCTCTGAACTTCTGGATCACGTCGATGAAGAACCCGATCCGCTCTTTGTATGTCGAGTGCAGCTCGATCAGTTCTCTGACATCTTGGGGGTCGTCAGTGTCGATGTCTTTGTTGTTGAATATCAAGAAAGACACCGTGTGTTTGAACAACTCGATCATTCTTATTTCGTCTGCTTCTTGTTCGAGCGGAGTGTTCAGACACAAAATAAACTGGTTCACAAACTCCGAAACAGTTTTCTTGTGGATGGAGCTTCGGTTCGAATTCTTGTCTGTGAATGCTTTCAGACACAACATCAAAGTGTCTTTGTCGATGAACGAGTTTCCGGATTCGCTGTAATACAAAATGTTGAGAACAATCTGGAATATGCTGTAGATTTCATCGTAAGCACATCACGAGATGTGTGGAATCAGTCGCTTCAGAAACAGCTTCATCATGCTCCGAGGGAAAGACACATCCTGGATGATGACTTCCAAGAACTTCAGCATCGGCAGCGACGGAGAATGCACTTTCAGGTGGTCTCACACTCGCTCGAAGATTGGGAGGATGATCGAGATCAAGTCGATGTCGATTCCTTCGGGGAGAGACATGAGGATGTCTTTGATGGTTTTCCAGGAAGCTTTGAAGAGATGGAGTCTGTCTTCACGCTCGATGCTGAAGCGCATCCAGTAGATGACAGGGTTGAGGAGGAGGTAGATATCCATTGACAGGCTCGTATTTAGCCTGATTAAATTGTTGGTATCCTCTTCTATTTTTAATCTCTCAACTGACAACAAAGAAATAATATCTAAAAGAGTAATCAATTTTTGCATATCATTTTCATCAATCTTATTTTCTTTTTCTGATAAAATGACCAATTGCTCAGCTATCCATTCGACTATATCCTTCATTCCTTTATGAGAGTAGTTTCACATTATTTTTGTTCTTATACTCTGCCAGAGTGAAGTTCCAGCTTGTCCAAGAGCTTCCATATTATGTAAAGAGGCGAAGGAAAGTAGAGAATCCAGACACTTTTTGCTCAAAATCAGATCTCCTTGACAAATACTTATAATCTTCTCAGCTATCTTGATCAATAGAGTTTTAAGCTCATTGGATGCTTCCTTCTCGCTCAAAGTTTTAATGAGTAAATCAAAAAATATCTGGTGAAGAATGTTTGAAGAGATACTACTCAGAACGCTTACATACTTATCCAAGATCACCTGGATAATCTTCTTAGTGGCTTTGAAGGCACAATCAATAGTTGCTTTTACCTGAATATCCTCAGCTTTGATCCCTTTTTCCCTACCTGAAAAATCATGACTTTTTATCTCTTTCCGAACATGTTTTAATGATTTATCAATTGAATTTGCATCTCTGCTTCCTGGGAAGACCTCACTTGGAGAATGGCTTAAAGGCTCATTTAGTACCTCACTCAACTTCTTGGGGAATGTCTGGACGATGCATCTGAGGATATCAATCATATAATTATCAAGAGTTCATCCAAGTTTTTCAAGGAGAAATTCAATTCCTCTTAAGGCGGCAATCCTAATCTCTTGTTCGTCATTTCTTGCTAGTTCAAGTAACATTTTGGTCAAATAAGGTGCGATCTTGGTGAGAGTGGAGTGGACGTCATCTGCATAAAATTCAAGCTTTTCGTATTCATTAGGAGATACGAACATTCCTAAATATAGCTCAGTTGCTCTTTTGAATGAATTGATTTTCTCTAATTCTTTTCCTTGAGCATTATATCATTCAGATATCAATATTTCAATGCTTGCTGCCTTCATCATTTCTGAGTAATGAGCTGCTCCTCTTGATTCAGAAAGGTCTCTTTGAGCGAACATTTCTGGGTTCATCAATGATGGGGTATCTAGCCTCCCTTGGTCTTTCATTTTACCCTTAAGGTTATTCAACATCTTTGCTTGAACTCTTTTGAACGACTCTAAAGCTTGGAAATGCTTGCGTGAGCACATGAGAGATAACCCAGTCATATATTCTATCTCGAGGGCTTCTACATATCTTGCATTTCTAAGGAATAGACTTTTTATATTAAACAAAGGAATCAGATTGAGTTTGCTCTGAATTCCTCTAGCACCACTGATAGTTATTGACTCCATTGGATGTTTATTTGAAGAACTTTCGTTATTTAGAGGTTTTTCTTGAGATCCATCCTTTTTCTCAGCATCACTTCTATCACTATCCTTTGGTGCTTTCTTGAGGATCATCGCTACTTCATTATCAAGATCTTCTAGATCATCAGCATCCATTTTGAAATTGGGTTTCTGTAGCTCAGCATTAAGGTCCTGAAACGGACCATTATAAGTAAATAAGTTATTTATTTTTCTTTCCTGGGCGCCCTTCCACATCTTTCCTGGGATTAATACACTGATAATAAACGTTAATAATGCTAGCAAAGGAGTAGAGGTTTATACTTATAGATTTAAGCACTGGATCGACCGATATCAGCTTCTGATTATCCAAAGGTCTTATAAAACTTTCGTTTTTCTCAGTCAGTTCAGAGTATGCCTCAATATTATGAATTGCATACATTGCTTTAAACTTATCAAATGAGTTGAAGTTAAACTTAATTTTGGTCACGAGGAACTCCTCAGGGAGTGTGATACTGAACATCATTATTTTCATATTTTTCAGATCTGAGTAAGTAGAACGTTTTTCAATTCCAGTTGAGAAAATATAAGAATCTTCCTTATCTTGCGCTGAAACCTCAATAGCTTCAGAGTTCCATTTCGTGTCTATTTTCGCATTAAGCTCTTGGATCCTTATAAGCTGGGACACTTTAGTCTGATTCACTCAAGAAGCAGACTTTGTTTCTTTATCTAAGTCAATAGCATCATCTTCTGTTTGGTCCCTAAGTTTCGCTTCTTCCATTTAAAATTTTTAAATAATTTAAATTGTTTCAAATATAAAATAACTTATAGGGGTTTTGGGGTTTTGGGGTTTTGGGGTTTTGGGG